TAATGGTTCCTTGGGAAGGGTAAGGCCATGCACTCCTCCTGTCCCCCTCTTCCTCCATCTTCCTCCAGCTTGTATTCATGAGAGCGACATCATACCTTATGGGATATCTCTTTGGTCAGCTGGAGTCAGCTGTCCTGGCTGCATCCGCTCCGTACTTCTTGCCCACCCCCAGCCTACTTGCTGGCAGGGAAGTGTGAGGAACAGAAAGGCTCTTGGCAATGTGCAAGCCCTGCTCAGCAATAACTAAAATATGGCTGTGTTATCAACATAGTTTTGTTCACAAATCCAGAACATGGAACCATATGGGCTGCTGTGAAGACCATGAGCTCCATCCCAGCCAGCCAGGGTGGAGTGGGTTTCTTAGAAGGCATGAGGAGGATAACAGTGAAGAACTTGAGAGGGGGAAAAGGGAATCAGTAAATTAAAGATGAGGCCATGGATGTCCTGGAGTCTTGTTGGGGTGTCTGTGATTCAGCCCTGTACATAATGTGAATTATTTCCACAGTCAGAGGGAACCTGAGTGCTTTCCCTAATGTTGAGGACATGAAGGGTGAGGAATGGGAATGTCAGTCAGGCTGGGAGGGATCAGTAAAAAACACTTAGCTCAAAGCAAAGTCACACCAGGTTCCTCATGGTTTGATCCAGATGATCCAGATCCTCCAGGGATGGAGGCAGTGCACACCCTGCAGGAAACAGCTTCCCATATCTGACTGTCCTCACATTGCAAAAGCTTTTCCCTAGATTGAGCCTGACCCCCTCGTGTTTCAGCCTCCTCTGCTCCTGCCTTGCACCACCATGTCTTCTTGGAAACCTCACCATAGGTAGTAGAAGTCTGTTACATCTTCCCCAACAAATCCCTCCATTCTGCAGGGTGAACAAGCCCAGCTCTCTCAGCTCCTCCTAACAAAGCAAGTGCTCCAGCTGTGACCAACTCTCTGGCCCTCTACTGAATTTTTGTTGCCCTCTGTCCTGCCAATGTCTCTCTGGCATTGCGTGGCACCAAAACCTGGGCAAGAATTCTGTATGTGGTGTGACAAACGCTGAGCAGAGGGAGATAATCCCTTCTCCTGGCTGTGCTCCTGCTTAGACAGCCCAGGATGCTGATGGCTGCCTCTGCTGATGGCTCATGTTTTGCCTAAGGTAACTCAAGGATCACCAGAGCATTTCCCGCATGCGCTTCTGCCCACCCAGGCAATCCTTGCTCTATGACATTGCATGGCCTTAGTCTACTGTAGGGACAAGACATTGGATGGGTCCTTATTGGGTACCATGAGGTTCCTATTGGCCCATACTTCCAGCCTGTCAAGGTAACTTGAGATGGCAGCCCTGCCCTCCACTCTAGTGTCTCCTCTCCTGTGTGGTGTCTTCTGCAAATGTTATCAAATCCACCTTCTCAACTCCTCCAGATCATTCAAACAACCTTAAACAGGACAGGTTGCAGGATAGAGCCCTGCAGGACCCTACGAGCTTGAGGCCCCCAACATTGAATGGTATGGGCCTGTTGGAGTGAGTCCAGAGGAGGACCACAAAGTTGATCAGAGGGCTGGAGCCCCTCTTCCAGGAAGACAGGCTGAGAGAGTTGGGATTGTTCAGCCTGAAGAAGAGAAGGCTCCAGGGAGACCTTATAGCAGCCTCCCAGTACCCTCCATGTGCAGGAGCTTGTCTTATGGATGGAGCTCCTCTATGGGGTGTGTAACAGGTTGGGTGAGCTCTTATAGGTGAGGGTCAGAGGAGAGGCCTGTTAGTGTGACATCATGGGGGGAGACAGAGAACCTGAAGTCAGGCTTAGGAAGTGGAGAAAGGCTTATTTAAGCAAGCCATGGAAGTCTCCACATCCATGACCCCAGGTCTTACTGGAGACTTTAATGACCCTCATCCCCTCTAATGATTCAGATCCTATTTCTGCTGAGGGAGCAGGCTAGTGTGACAGTGAGGCCTTGGCATCTCAAATATAAGGAACAATCTCCCCAGGGTAAACACAGTCACCTTCTCTTTCAGACACACAGAAATGGGATCCAAGTGGACACGCTCTGGGGCCCAGCTTCTCCTCCCCTGCATCATCCATTGGGCATTTTGGAAAGGTGCGTGCAATGCTTGGGTGTTGCAAGTTGTCAAGGGGTTCCCTCAATCTCCGTGACATTTCAAAGCTGGTGGACTGTGGGTAGTGTCTCATGAGTACAGTCCATGTCACCAACAAAGATGTTAAACAGTGCCAGTCCCAATACCAACCCATGAGGAACACCACTTGTCACTGGTCCTGTGCCGTCTCTACAAGCCTTGGCATCTCATTTATCTGTGGGCCTGGAGTTAAAAATTAAATTGAGTAGACACCCTGAATTCTGTAAGGCAACGTGGGGGTGAACGTGAAGCAACTGCCAATACAGTGAGTGGACACCCAGTGAATACAGATGTTGGAGAAGAGAAAGAGCGAGCCTGAGCTCTCCCTGTGGCACATGACTCCAGTTGTTCAGATAAACAACTCTGAAGGCTACCCTGAACATCATGAGTGGGGACAGGATCAGTTGCCCTAATCTGAGCATCAGCTGCCATTTCAGTTGGCCAAAGAAAATTCCCAGCAGCCTCTAAGAGGATTCCACCCGATGTGGGCCTGTCTCTATGAACTGCTCCATTAGAGCCTGCAGCTGCCTGCACGTATCTTCAACCACCCCCGAACAATTAAATGTCACCAGGTGCTGTGTCTGAACAGCCCAGTCCTGCCCTCCATCTCCATTAATCATGGATCAGCATGGGAGCTGAGACAAGGAGCTCACAGGCAGGTGCCTATTTTGTGCACACCTGGACAACTGATGCAAGAGGAATGTCACTTCCAGTTGGTTTGTGTTGTGCATGGAAGGGAGCTGAGTCTGCTTCTAGCCCCAGGACTACAAACCCAGAAATGAGATGCCTTGATTGACTCATCTGCATCCCTTCCCTCAGCAGGGGTAAAGGACAGATCCTTCCTTGTAACTCTGGTTCTTTTATCTACTGACTGGAAAAGGAAAGGCAATTGTCATGCCCAAATCTTTTCCTCATAGAAGACATTAGAGTGCTGGGAAGAAGTGCTTCTCCCTAGATGAGGGAGGGAACATCAGGAATGACTTCAGCCTGTGTCACAATGGGCAGCGCTGCAGAGAGACAGCTCTGCCCAGGAGCAGCTCCTCTGCAAAGCGCAGCAGGGCTGAGGGCACTGACTGCAGCGACCAAGCAGAGATGAACAAGACAGAGAGTGGTTAAAGGCGGTCTGGAGTGGGAGGATGCTGAGAGCTCACTGTGGGAGAACTCTTCACAGCCCTTTACGTGGTAAGTCTCTGGCTGCAGGGCAATGCAGCTTCAGGTGCTGGAGGAAGCTCCTGAAGCTGGCACATCCCACAGATGATGATATCTGTGAGTACAACTCTCACAGTTTCTCTAGTGTAGAGGAAGATGATGTGCTGCAGAGCAGGGACATTCCACTGCACCATCAGAGGGACGGGGCATGACGGTGCCTTCTAATGGCTGCAGGGGTGTACATGTGAATGTGCACGGGTCGGTGCCCAGGGCTGTCCTTCTGAGCAGCGTCCCTGGTTCCCAGAGTATTGTATGCTGGGGCGGAGACTCTGTGCCTCCCAGGGTCATCACTCAGGCTGTCTGGGAAGTTGACTACAATGCTGCGGGGAGAAGCTGTGGGTGGAAGGAGAAGCCCCCAGCAAGGCAGGGTCCCTGGAGTTGCCTCCACTGCAGCCAGAGCTCCAGCGCAGCAGAGGTGCATCTGTCCTGACACGTGGCCCCTTCCCTGTGCACAGCAAAGGGGCTGAGAGCAACTGCCCTGGTATTTTGCTGACTGGGGAGTGCTGGGCTCTACTGGGTAAGGAGAAGGCTTTCCTGAGTGCCCGGCTGCCTCTGCTCTCCTTGCTTCCCTTTGCAGGAGAGTCACAGAGTTTTTCTTTGTTTCTGCCCCAGGTTGTGCTGCTCTTCTTCCTGCTCTTGGGGTCCCTGACAATAAGAGTTGTGGTGTGGGGCAAGGGCTGGGGGTGCTGAGTGCCTGCTTGGACACAGATGTGAAGGGCACTACCCTGGAGCTGTTGCCATGGCACCAAAGCCTGGTACTAATTTTCCCAGCTTGAGACACTGCAGACAGTGCTTGGGCAAGGAGATGCTGCTTCCCTCAGCAGACATCACCTTGAGACCTCTGGTTATGCTGGACAGGGAGTCCTGCGGGGCTGTGAACATCACTCCAGAAGGGAAGAGACATCCTCTAGGACCTTTGTGGTGGCTGAGAGCACCTGATCTGCCCATGTAATTCAGCAACCTGGTCCTGTCCTCCTCATCTTTACACTGCATAGCTGTGCTGGAAAGGAGAGCCGCTTTTAAATCTGCACTTTGAGCAGGACCCCTCTGCTCCCAGACCAATCCAGTCTCTTTCAGAGCAAGCTCTGGGTGTAGTCCTCCTCCAGCTGAGAGCGGTGCGAGAACAGAGCATCTGGGCACCAGGCTGATGGGCTTAGCAGCCCTCCTGCATGTGAGCACTGAGAGAGGTTTGCACTGAGAGCAACCGGGAAGCGGGGGAATTTTGCCATTTCCAAGAACATTTCCCAACTGTGATGGGTTGTCTGAATCCTAAAACACACTGTAAGGAGACACATTTGCTGCATCTCATCTCCCACCTCAATCAGTAGAAAAAAGGGACATCTGAGCTTTTTACCATGCCCTGTAGTGCAGCACAGGGAACTCCTCCCCAGGAACCCTCCCTCCAAATACACGGGGCTGTTGCTGCCTCCACGTGTTATTGCGGTAAAGCAGGGCTGACCCTTAAGGACCCCATGAGTAGAGGGCACTGCTCTGCACAGCACGCTCAGACAACACCAACCAGAGCTGAAGCCTCAGAGCTGCATGAAAATCCCTCAGGAGAGAAAAGCACCCTTCGGTATTTCACAATGAATGAATCAAATGTTGCTCAGAAAACCTTCTCTGAATTTTTCTCTTTAATCTCCTTTGGCACTTCCCATGCCCAGAATCAGCAGATGTCCAACACCAGCTCCATCACTGAGTTCCTCCTCCTGAAGTTCACAGACACACGGGAGCTGCAGCTCTTGCACTTCTGGCTCTTCCTGGGCATCTACCTGGCTGCCCTCCTGGGCAACGGACTCATCATCACCGCCATAGCCTGTGACCACCTCCTCCACACCCCCATGTACTTCTTTCTCCTCAATCTCTCCCTCCTCGACCTGGGATCCATCTCCACCACTCTCCCCAAATCAATGGTCAGTTCTCTGTGGGACACCAGGGCCATTTGTTATGCAGGATGTGCTGCACAGGTATTACTCTTTTCCTTCTTTGTTGGAGCAGAGATTTCTCTTCTCACCATCACGGCTTATGACCGCTATGTTGCCATCTGCAAACCCCTGCACTATGGGACCCTCCTGGGTAGCAGAGCTTGTGTCCACATGGCAGCAGCTGCCTGGGGCAGTGGTTTTCTCAATGCTGTCATGCATATGGCAAATACATTTTCGCTACCCCTCTGCATGGGCAATGTTGTGGACCAGTTCTTCTGTGAAATACCCCAGATCCTCAAGCTCTCCTGCTCAGATGCCTACCCCAGGGAGGTTGGGCTTCTTGTGGTTAGTGCCTGTTTAGTCTTTGGGTGTTTTGTTTTCATTGTCCTGTCGTATGTGCAGATCTTCAGGGCCGTGCTGAGGATCCCTTCTGAGCAGGGACGGCACAAAGCCTTTTCCACATGCTTCCCTCACCTGGCCGTGGTCTCCCTGTTTCTCAGCACTGGAATATTTGCCTACCTGAAGCCCCGCTCCAACTCCTCCTCAGCTCTGGATCTGGTGGTGTCTTTTCTGTACTCAGTGGTGCCTCCAGCAGTGAACCCCCTCATCTACAGTATGAGGAACAAGGAGATCAAGAAGGCTCTATGGAAACAAGCCAATTGAACACTTTATCACTGACAACAACCTGCCTCCACTTCTCTACACATTTCCTGGAATTTATCTTCGGCAATGATTCTGTTTTTTCCTTTTTTGATAATCCTGCTTATAGATAATTTGCTGGGCTTATACAAATTGTCTTGAGGACTGATCCTATTGTATCTCACTCTTGTACAACACTCTGTCAGAGGTGGTATCCCCAATAGCAGGTCTTTAATAAAACAGAATCTCCCAGGTGCAGTGCCTGAAGGCTGTGGTCTTCCTACAAGGTAGCTTCCAGGAAAATGTCCAAGGAATTGGTCTTTGAAATAGTCTTTTGTGCTTTTCTTCTCAATGTTTTAGGGGTTAGGCTCATGGTACCATCAGGTTCCAGTGGACCAAATGTTCTGGATATAAAAGCTCTAGTCTTGATATGCAATGGTAGGTGAGATGGTCTATGAGCTCCCATTATCTCCTCAGGTTTCTTTATATACGGCAAGAATGATGGCATAAATCAGAATCTGTGGGAATTACTTTAGAGGGGTGAGGAGAGGAGAGGAGAGGATAGGCAGGCACTCACATTGTGCCCTGGGGTTTGAATGAATGGAGACTCAGGTGTATCACCCTCAAAAGTGATGTCACCCAAAAGTCAATCACTAAATCCATGTCTTCATGAACAAGGACACTGCAGTGTCATGGGAGTCAGTGGGGACCCAGCAGGCACAGGGAGGGGAAACTGGAGAGATGCAGGAGCTGCCTGGGGAGGCCCAAGGCCAGGACTGTTGTGACATCCTGGGGAGTGGGGCTGGTGGGAGCAGAGGAGGGGGCAAATTGTTTCAGGGTTGGGGATCATCAATAATTTGAATTTAGGAGTGGCAGAGAGGGACCGGCCTCTTTTTCCTCATTCCCTTGGGGTCAGCACTAGCTCTGGGGCTCATGGGGAACCAGAATCCCTCCTCTCTACCCCTCAAATGCTGCTGTGGCCCTCAGAGGGTCTGTGGCTATGGAGTGAGCACCCAGAGCTCTGCAGGACCCTGAGGTGGGCTCTGCTGTGGGACAAGCCCAGACTGGGCTGCTTTCCTGGACTGGTCTGGAGAGAGGACAGGGGAGGTGGGGAAGGCTGGGGAGGGGCTTGGCTGGAAATAGCATGAGATTAAAAACCAGAAGTGCAGAGCTCATCTGTGAGTATGTGTGGGGTTGGGGCACCCTGAAGTGCGCTCACAGTGCAGAGCCAGGCATCATGGTGAGGGAAGCAAGACAAAAGAGGTACAGTAGAAAGGGTCTTGGTCTGTGCCATGTTCCATGGACATCCTGGCAAAGCTCCCCCAGGCCTAGCCTGCACATAGGCCATTTCCATCTCTAGTTATGCACTCCAACTCTGAGGAGGGGCCTTTGCTGCATGGTCACCTCCGTTCTCATTTGGGGCTCAGTGATACCCAACCCCACCGCCAGTATAAATAAAAGGAAACCATTTTCCTACTGACACTCATTACACATGCCTGGAGATATTTAAAAGGTGTGTAGGTGTGACACTTAGGGACATCGTTTAGTGGTGGATTTGGTAGTGTTAGGTCAATGGTTGGGCTTGCTGCTCTAAAGGGTCTTTTCTAACCTAAATTATTCTATTATTCTATGATAGCTCCTTCTTCTTCTTGTCTCTCAGCCAAGCCCACTCTCAGACAGCTCCAGGTAGATCAGGTGCTCATGGCCTAGTCTCAACAAATATTGAAAATCTAAATTGAGTGAGATCCCACCAACTGGCCTGATTCCTTGCTCCAATCTTTGACTCTGAGGGATTCCTCAAGAACCCAGCTCTCCCAGCCTCTCATTGTCCACAATGTGCTCAAGGCCCCAACCATCCTTCTGGTCTCTGCAGGACATGCTTTAAACTTTCAGGCTCTTGCTTGTGCTGGGAAGTCCCATAGTGGATGCAGCAGTCCTGATGTAGTTGTTCTGCAGTGGGTTAGCCTTGTCCAGTCACCAGACACACATCCAGCTGCGTATTCAGTACCCTGACGCAACAGGGCAAAGGGAGAAAATAAGATGGACTAGCTCATGGGTCAAGATAAAGTAAAGGAGAACAGGTACCAATTACTGTCATGGGCAAAGACACATTGACTTGGAGTAAACCAAATTAATGGATTTGGATTCTGAGAAACAATGACAAAAATATCTTAAAGACCATTCTCCTCACTTTCTCCCAGGCTCAAATTACTCCATTGCTCCCAATTCACCTACCCACCCCAACCCTGAGAGAAGAGGAGATGGTGAAGAGGGGGCTGTTAAGTCAATAAAGAACATGTCTGCTGATCCTTCCTCCTCACACTTCTCCCCTGCTCCAGCTTGGGTCCTCTCCATGGGATCCCATCATATTTCTCCTCAATGCTATGTGTTTTTCGTGTGTGTGTTGAGGAGGTTGCTCAGGGTGTTGTCTAGGTGGGTTTGGAATACCTCTACAGATGGAGACTCCACAACCTCTCTGGGCAACCTGTTCCAGTATTTGACCACCTTCGCAGTCAAAAAGTGTTTTCCTAGTTTCAGAAAGAATTTCATGTGTTTTTCTCTGTGTCCATGTGCAGGCATTTCTGCAAGGAAAGCAGATGGGAATCGATGCTGAGACATTCAGCTGCAACCGGAGTGGGCAAAGTTTTGATTTGACCATGAGTGATGAAAGTCTCAGGTGACTGGTGAGAGGAATGGCAGATTCAGATGGGGGGATTGAAGAGTGTCTCAGGAGTGTCTGACAGAAAGGGTCTTGCTTTTCCTGCTTGTTCACACTTCATCATGAGACACTCTGGATCAATGCAAAGTGGAGTTTGTTGATATTGCTTCTTCTGTAAGGAGGAAAATAAAAAAAATAGGAAAAGCATAAATATTTTGAAAATGTTTCTTTTTAAAATCTTCTCATTTACACTCTCCTAAAAATCTCTCTAATGAACCAAACAAACATGAAGGAATTAAAGAAAACTGCAGAGAGCCATGGCATGTTAGGACATTTACGTTTCCATGAGCCCTCTGGTGCCAGGTTCCTGAACTGCAGATCATAGAATCAGAATTCCTTGGCTTGAAAGGGACCTTAAAAGTCATCTAGTTCCAACTCCTGTGCCATGGACAGGGAGACCTTCCACTAAACCACATTGCTCAAAGCCCCATCCAACCTGGCTTTGAACACTTCTAGGCATGGGGCATCCACAACTTCTCTCAGCAAAACTCTTCCAGTGTCTCACCACCCTCAGAGTGAAAAATTTCTTTCTTATATCTAATCTAAATCTACCCTCCTTCATTTGAAAGCCATTACCCCTTGTCCTGTCATGACATGCCCTTATAAAAAGGCCCTCTCCAGCTTTCTTGTAGGCCCTCTTCAGGTACTGGAGTGCAGCTATAATGTACTGAAAGAAGATAGATTGAAAAAGTTGATGAAGAAGTATTTAAAATCTGATTAAAATCTCCAAGGTTCTGAAGGTGTCCATAGGCCCTCCAAGGGCTGTCACCCATGGAGCCATGAAGGGAAGCACGGGTGGAGGTACCTCTCCCTGGGGACTGCCTGAAACTGGCAGTGCTTACACTGTTTACACTGGTTACAGATGACAAAGGCAACATGCAGGTGGCTCTGCTGCCACGTGAGCCCTTCCTGTGTTTCATCAAGAAGGTTGGGCAATCTCTGATCTCTAGCAAGGGAGATCCTTTTCTTCATGCCTTTCTCAGGGCTCTGCATGGAGCAGTGTGATGTGGGAGGGTGTGATAATGAGTGCAGGACGAACGCCAGGACTGCCTGAACTCTTTGGGGGGGTGAGAAGGCAACAGGGCCATGGGGCTGTAAGGACATGGTGTACCCTCGTGGCTCTTGGTGGCAGTGACAATATTGATAGCTGAGAGGAGAGAGATCCTGGTCATGTTGGGGGAGTCCCAGCCCCACTTCATTCATCCCCACCACAGGATCTCCCATGCTGTCCCATGCCTGTGGCACTTCTTCTGCAGGCTTTGGCCACCCCCCTGCTTCCCCACCTCACTCCGACCCTAGGATCTCCCAGGCTTTGTGAATGTCTTTTTGTCCTCCCTGCCTTTTCCTTCTAAGACAAAGCTGTGGTTTCCTGGGGATTTGGCAAACCTGTGAATCCCCTCCTTTGATTTAAAACTATTGGTTCTTGTCCTATCACAACAGGTCCTAAGAAAAAGTCTGTCCCCACCTTTCTTAAAATCCCCATTGAAGAAGTGAAAGGTGGCAGGAAGATTTCCCCAGAGCCTTCTGTCCTCTGGGCTTAACAACCCCAACTCTCCAAGCCTTTCCTCATAGGAGAGGTGTTCTGTCCCTCTGATCATTCTTGTGGCCTCCTCCGGATGAGCTCCAACAGGTCCATGTCTTCCCTGTGCTGAGGACCCCAGAGGTCGACACATAACTTCAGGTTGTGTCTCACCAGAACAGAGCAGAGGGGCTAGAATCCCTACCCTCAACCTGCTGGCCATGCTTTGTTGGATGCAGCCCAGGAGATGGTTGGCTTTATGGGCTGTGAGTGCACATTGCCGACTCATGTCCAACTTTTCATCCACCAGTACCCCCAAGTCCTTCTCCACAGGGCTGCTCTCAATCCCTTCATCCCCCAGCCTTTATCGATACCAGCACTTTCCCTGAGCCAGGTGCAGGACGTTGCACTTGGCCTTGTTGAACCTCATGATGTTCATGCAGGCCTACTTCTCAAGCTTTCCCAGGTCCGTCTGGATGGCATCCCATCCCCTTGGGAGTGTCAACGGCACCACTCAGCTTGGTGTCATCTGCAAACTTGCTGAGGTTGCACTTGATCCCACTGTCCATGTCATTGATAAAGATATTAAACATTGCTGGTCCCAATACAGGTTTCTGAGGGACATCACTCATGTGTTGGGTATCTCCAGGAGTGGCCTCCACTCTAAGATGGAATTTGACCAGATGATCTCCAGCACCTTCAACCTCTCTTCTTCCTTGTCTCCTCTCAGACTTGATCTTGAAACTCTCTCGTGAATTCCAATGTCTCCAATGGAGCAGACTCCTT